AGAACACAGACCAATAGCATAACTCCCTATCATAAAAATCTTTTGAAAGGGTCCAAGAAGCAAGGATCACCCCCATCTAGAAACCCATCAGTTACAAAACCCCAGGGCAACATGGGTTTTAGAACAGGTCGCTCCTGTCTGTTCAACTAGGGATCACTACGACAAGGCCCTAAATGCACTAAAGACAAAAAAAATGAGATTAATTAACAACTTTGAAAAACCTTCACAAGGTGACCATGGCGTAATGCGCAAAAAAATGCGCGTAAAGGAATAACGGGAAAAGTCGGCGATGGATCTTTTTTCCTCACTAACAGAAACAGAGAGATCGTCAACAGAGAAAAAGTCCGGGCCTGGGGAAAAGCCTTTTGTTCCAAAAGGGCAGTACTAGCACCCTCTTTTTCCCTCCCCTCATATCCGACATAGAAAAAGGATGTCGCCACACCGTGTCTTCCTTTGAGATGACACCCAAATTGCATGACAGTGTTTTCCTTGCGACACTGAAAGCTCCAGGGGCCCAAAAACCAAAATTTTTCAGGGGGTGCAGAAAAAAATATGAAGTTCAACGGGGAAAAATTTCAATTACTCAGATATGGTAAACACAAAAAATTTAAAATCTTCATCAGAGTACAAAAAAATTTTGGCCCAAAAAAAATAGAGCGAAACCCCAACGCAAACCTGGGAGTGTTTATGTCGGAGGATCTCCCCTTTCAAGGACCATACATTGTATCATCGCATCTGCGAAAAAGACGGATGGTAATGAGCCTTAAAAATAGGGGGGCCAAGCCCTGATGACACTCTTCAGGTCCTTTTTTCTATTGGGGGATATTGCTGCACTTAAAAGCACCTTTCAAGGCAGGTGAAATTGCCGACCTAAAAATGTACAGAGAACTTTCAGGGGGCCAAAACGGAGATAAAAACCTAAATTAAACTGGGAGCGCGGGGTTTTTCTAAACCTGTTTTCCCTGGAAACGCAGGAGGGGAGATACTGATTATATACACCTGGAAAACCTAGGGGGCTGTACCGAATTTGCAACGAAAATCACTCACTACAAAAGCAAAGATTTGGCAGACATGCACCTCCCCCCAATGAAAAGCAGGGGGTGTCATGCACGTTAAGGACCATACATAAGTGTGGGGGCCCGGACTGTTCAACGCCTCCCAGAACCCTAAGGGGATTACCAACAGCCCCTGGCAGTTTCAAGCTGGCACTGGGACAAGCCCCTAAATTTTTAGTTCCTGTCAGCCGGGGTGTGGCCGTACGTTGGCTGCGTGCAGCCAGCAGCAAACAGCCTGGTTGATCAGGCGTGGGTCCAAGGGGCCTGGTCCAGCCGGGGCCCCGGGGGCGTTGACCCCCGAAACTCTCTCCAGGTAAACTCCCCGGTATAGGCAAAAGTGGTAGAGTATATAGTATTAGTAGTGGGAGTAGTATGGAGGTGGAAGGGAAGTAGTAATGGGGGAAATAGGAGGGGAGGGGCCAGTCATAACTAAAAAAAGGGGGACCGCAAGGGGTTTTCTTATATGGCGGTTATTTGTGTATTCTTCTTTTTCCCAAATCCGCCCATGATCGATTTGTTTTTATTATTGTTTTAAAACTTATGGACGCAAAAAGGGCCTTAGGTTTTAATTTTACAGTACACCACTCAAAGGTGCTGTAAATTTTTTAATATTTTCAACAACCCGGGCGTATTCCACCAGGAGGGTGACCCAAAAAAAAAAAAGCCACATTATTGTCGGCCCAATAGGGGAAAAACTGGTAATTACAAGAATCGTTTAAAATTAAGTCCTTTTTAAAATTTTTTTTTATACCCTTAAAAAAACCCTTTTTTTTGTTGCTAATAAAAAATTAATTTTTTTTGTACCAAAAGCACCTTGGGAAACTTACCTAACCTTATTTTAAAAAGCACAAATTTAATTAGTTTAAACCAATAAAAATATTTTTTATAAGTTTACAATAAATTTAATTTAAAAAAACAATGAAAACTTTTTTTTTCGTTTTATTCAAATGGTTTTTTTGGGAAAAAATTACAACGAAATTTTTTGTTGACTTATGCGACAAGAAAAGATTGCTGTTTTAAGCCAAAAAACAAGTTTTAATTATTCGGGACTGGTATATAATACTTTTTTATTTTTTATAGATCGAAAAAAATGCACCCATCACGTGTATTATGTAGTTACAAAAATCAAGAGACATGCACTCCCTCTGGGAAAAAACCAGCACGAGTGGTATAAGGGAGGGCCTGCATGATATTATTACCCCAGGAGTTTATTTTCCCCGATACTGTTAATATAAGTACAAACACATCTTCCAACTATTGATGAATGGTTTAAAAACCCAAAAGTTGAAGATTTAGCACTTACAAAAATGGGAATTTTATTCAGGAAACGTTTCGCAACCCTGGCTTCACAGTCCCAAAACAAAGGGAAACGTAAGGAGGGAGGAGTAGAGGTAAACAGTCCCCCCCTGGAGTCGATGGTTCAGTCCATAATCTTGTAGAATGACAGCATAGGGCCTTTGACGTGGCTTATATACTGTGTGAGGTGAGGTGAAGCAGGCGGAGGCGGGTCAAAGAATTCTTCAACACTTGTTCAACCTTTGGACGAAGACCTACTTCGACTAGTGGATGGTACCTATGACCCCGCCTCCGCCTGCTTCACATCACCTCACTCAGTATATAAGCCACGTCTACGGCCATATGTGTACATTCTACAGATTGATGGACTGAACACATCGACTCCAGGCTGGGGACTGATTACCTCATACTCCTCCTCTCCTTGCGCCTTCCCTCTTTGTATTGGACTGATGAAGCACTGTGTGGCGAAACGTTTCCTGAATAAAGATTCCCAATGCTGATTAAGTGTCTCAATCTTCATCTTCCAACTATACATTATTTTTTTGCGGTAAAGAGAAAACGGACCGAAACGTCGTCGTAAGCTCCTCTCCTCTATGTGCGGGTTATTTGTGTATCGTTCCAGTCACGGTATTGTGACTTTTTTTTTTTTTGAGATAATATTATACGCCCAACAATACGTTGAATTTATTTCGTATAATGGTTAAAATGCGTAAGTAAACCCAGACCTATTCTACGAAAACTAACAGAGTTAAATTTCTGTATCATGTTCGCTCTCACAGAAACAAGCGAACGGCAATTAGGGGGACAAATGAACGCTCTTAATTAGGTTTTCCCCTGAAGGAATACATTAAAGCGAGTACGTATTACGTATTTATTCCCGAGCTGTTGCAATGTATTCCCAATTATTATAACAATGACCTGTATTTGGGGGCCGTAATAAGAAGGTTCCCATAATGTTTTACCATCAACTGCGGATCTGAATAAAACATTTAAAGTTTAAAAAAAAATAAAACATTTTCTTGAAAAAGGTAACCCACACCTGCCCTGGATAAGTGAACCCCATCCCTGGCATACATGTCATTTCGGCCATAGAAGTTGTCCCAGTTGTCAATGAATGGTACTGCATTATCCTTAGTGTTTATCCAGCCAACAATTAATACCAATTGCTCTGGACAACCATTCATTACCAACACCTCTTCTTGGCAAAATGCCACATATAACAGGGCGCCCCCTCTTCTTCCTAATTATGTCTGTAGCTGTCCTGAACCTTTTAACCAAATCCTCACTTCTACGCTTGCCTACATCATTGCCTCCAGCACTGAGGCAAATAATAGGGTTGATCCCATTACCGTTCATGATGTTGTCAAACCGGCTAACAATGTCCTCTATCCCAGCCCAAGGAAAGCAAACCCTCTGTCTCCTACTCCTGTCCTTCAAGCAGAACGCCCTATCCATGTACCTAACCTGGCTATCCCCAACAACAACAATATTCGTACCTTTCTCGGTGTCGTTCGTCGTGACGTTTCCAGTAGTCGACTCTCATTCGCAAATTATACGTCTGCGAAGCATCCAGAAACCTCCAAACACGTATTTTAGAACACCAGTACGCAGGCAGATCTGACGATCCAAGGAATGCCTGTGTTCAACACCGAAATTCACACACCCATTTAATAAACCACAGAAACACAAGACTCATCTCCAGAAAAGACAACACTCAATACCGAAGAATCCTGGAATCATCACTTATCTGTACATCCAACAACTTCAACCAGAACAACGGCTTCTATAACATAGCTGAACCACTTGCCAAGAAACTTCTTCATCACTATCCCACATTAAGAACATAAGAATGGAGGAACACTGCAGAAGGTCTACTCATATGTTTACCCAATCTCTTTTTAATGCTACCCAAGGTTCTAGATTCTATCACCCTACTCGGAAGATTGTCACATGCAGCATTCTCCACCTGACTAAATCCTATACACACGTACCTTTTACACAGGTAGATCTGTTTGTGACTTGATAAAGCTCGCTGTGTTGGCGAAACGTTGTCAGTAAAGGCTCACATTATACTGCTTATGTGTTTTTTATTTCCATTGTGTCGGTATTTTATACCATTTATTTCCACAGTGGAATGCTTGACGATACCCTCATCACAAGTCATAACAGCTCAGGTAAGCTTTAAGGAAATATTTGAAGCTGCCGTAACTACTGAACCCACCTCGGAATACCCTACTGTATCCTCATGAAAGTTCAACCCGAGTGTTGGAATGACAGGGGAAAATATAGATAGCTTTTGTTCTTACTTTGTAAGTGCCATGTAGAGTTGGATTGCGTCACATTGCTCGTGAACCTCCGTGATGCTTCTCAAGTTTAAGCTGATCTCCCTTTTCTCTGGTCACACTTGATTACCTCCATTTCCTAGACGCTGTTTGATATATGGTGTAGCCCCTCCCAATTTATATTTAATTAATGCTGATGAACCATTTTGTGCATTAGTAATAATGTTGATTGCCCATTTTAATATTAACATTAATTTACCAATTTTTATATCAATACTGATGAATTCTTATACTGTTCTTGCTGATTCACCTATTTAATTGTAATTTAAAAATTCCTTTGCCTTGGTTTTCCCGGTGTTACCAACAGTGGAGGAGCAGGTGGGACGATCACTGAAGTTGTGGTCAGTGAGCCACAACACCAGCGGTGCCTTCCTCTGTATAGCTACCAACGGTGTTCCTCCCTCCGTCAGCAAGAGAATCCTACTCACTGTCAACTGTGAGTATTTAAGCCAAGAAGCTCTTAGTGTCAGGACTTATACTTACTGTAGGGGTTTGATTAAACTTTATAAAGTTCCGTCTGTTTGCAAAATGAGGTGTTCTGCTTAACTATGGACTTTATAGCAAAAAAAAGGCACAATACAGTGACTGGAACAATACACAAATAACCCGCTCGTACAAGAGAGGAGCTTACGACGACGTTTCGGTCCGATCTGGGCCATTTACAAAGCCACACGACTTTGTAAATGGTCCAAGTCGGACCGAAACGTTGTCGTAAGCTCCTCTCTTGTATGTGTGTTTGGACTTTCTGCATGCACAGCCAAATGTCACCCATTTCCATACAAACACTGAATTATGAGAAATACCACGGTGAAAATAGGAATTAAACCTGAGCGCTTTCATGTATTTACACATCTTCGGAGGAATATATATAAGCACATAAAAGAGCTCAGGTTTAATTTTCCTATTTTCACTGTGGTATTTTTTTATATTTGCAATCACGCGTTTAATTGTGACTTCCTCCATATTCTATCATGTGGAAATAAATTCGACATTGACAGCAAAATAGATTTCCGTTGCATCAGTTGCCTTTAACTATATTTCCTTGATAAATTAGACACATGTGCAACTCTTGGGTATCTTTATTGAGGGAAACGTTTCGCCACACAGTGGCTTTATCAGTCCATACACAGGAGAAGCTTGAAAAACAGGAGGAGAATGAGGTAATCAGTCCCTCAACCTTTGATCTACAATCCTGTCAGACACTGCAACTTCTTGGGATCTTAATACTTGGGAATTCTTCGCTTGCCTAACCCTTGGGCACGACCTACTTGGGCACGACCTACTTGGGCACGACCTACTTGGGCACGACCTACTTGGGCACGACCTACTTCCACATTGAACAAATGTGACACCACCTACGACTGCTGCACCTCTCCTGCCATACGGTTTATAAGCTCCTTCTCCACACTTATGCCGTATTCTATTCAAGATTGATGGACTGACCACATCGACTCAAGGTTGAGGGACTGATTACCTCATTCTCCTCCTGTTCTTCAAGATTCTCCTTTGTATGGACTGATGAAGCCACTGTGTGGCGAAACGTTTCCTCAATAAAGATACCCAAGAGTTGCACATGTGTCTAATTTATCTACGTGTCGGTTCCCTGAACCATTCATCTATATTTCCTTACCAAGAAATGACCGGGATGCAACACTAAAATTTTATTCAGACAACTTTTGGCTCTTTGTAGAGTTTCAAGTTATCAAGCTCTACACAGTGTAGAGCTTCTTCATAACTTGAAGCTCTACACAGCGTAGTCACTTTGTAGACATGAGTTTAAACAGTCACAATATATACACTAGCATTCTCATCCCTACACCAGCTGCGCCCAGGATCGTGCAGGAGGGCGAGAGTGGGCGTGTGGGCGCACCGGCTGAGGGCGTGGCCACCCTTATTTGCTCCTTCCACGCACGCCCACTTGCTGAGGTGCGCTGGGACCGTGGTCCACGCCAGGTCAAAGTTCATGGTCCAGGGGTCACCATAGACACTACCAGTGACCAGGTAAGATGGTCCAAGGGTCACTATAGACACTAACAGTGACCAAGTAAGATCAGGGGTCACCATAAACACTTGTGACCAAGTAAGACAGTTCAGGGGCCCCCATGGTGACCAGGTAAGATAGTTGAGGGGTCAAGCAACACTAGGTAAAATAGTTCAGGGGTCACCATAGATAACACTAGTGACCAGGTAAGACAGTTCAGGGGTCACTAACAACACTAGTGACCAGGTAAGGCAGTTCAGGGGTCACTAACAACACTAGTGACCAGGTAAGACATTTCAGGGGTCACTAACAACACTAGTGACCAGGTAAGACATTTCAGGGGTCACTAACAACAATAGTGACCAGGTAAGACGGTTCAGGGGTCACTAACAACAATAGTGACCAGGTAAGACAGTTCAAGAGCCACTAACAACACTAGTCACCAGGTAAGACAGTTCAAGGGTCATTAACAACACTAGTGACCAGGTAAGACAGTTCAAGGGTCACTAACAACACTAGTGACCAGGTAAGACAGTTCAGGGGTCACTAACAACACTAGTGACCAGGTAAGAAAGTTCAAGGGTCACTAACAACACTAGTGACCAGGTAAGACAGTTCAAGGGTCACTAACAATAGTGACCAGGTAAGGCAGTTCAAGGGTCACTAACAACACTAGTGACCAGGTAAGACAGTTCAGGGTCACTAACAACACTAGTGACCAGATAAGACAGTTCAAGGGTCACTAACAACACTAGTGACCAGGTAAGACAGTTCAGGGTCACTAACAATAGTGACCAGGTAAGGCAGTTCAAGGGTCACTAACAACACTAGTGACCAGGTAAGACAGTTCAGGGGTCACTAACAATAGTGACCAGGTAAGACAGTTCAGGGGTCACTAACAACACTAGTGACCAGGTAAGACAGTTCAGGGGTCACTAACAACACTAGTGACCAGATAAGACAGTTCAGGGGTCACTAACAACACTAGTGACCAGGTAAGACAGTTCAGGGGTCACTAACAACACTAGTGACCAGGTAAGACAGTTCAAGGGTCACTAACAACACTAGTGACCAGGTAAGACAGTTCAAGGGTCACTAACAACACTAGTGACCAGGTAAGACAGTTCAAGGGTCACTAACAACACTAGTGACCAGGTAAGACAGTTAAGGAGCCGCTAACAACACTAGTGACCAGGTAAGACATTTCAGGGGTCACTAACAACACTAGTGACCAGGTAAGACAGTTCAAGGGTCACTAACAACACTAGTGACCAGGTAAGATGGTCACTAGTGACCAAGTGAGACAGTCTGATAGGAAGGGAGAGAGGAGAGAGAGGGAGGCTAGAAGAGAAGGGTGTCAAGAAACATTGGAAGCACGAAAGAAAAGAGAAGATAAAACGAAATTCCTGGTCTGCATATTTCTACCTCCCAACGTGGTCCTCATCAGTAGATATATTAAAGTAAATTAACGGATTATTTAGTGGTGTGAGAGTCAAGTCTCCTATTGATGTGACTTAACATTCAGAGCCGTCACATGTACTAATATATTCTCCGAAATCATATTAGATTATATATTGTCTACCTTCTATTGGTCCAGCGAAATCTTTTTAATTTGGGTCGGTTATGAGAATAGGTTTTGTGATGTGTTTGGTACAACATAGTGATGTGTGTGGTGGCAGGTGTGACCCAGGGTATGTTGTCACCTCTACCACCATCATGTTGTCACCTCTATCACCATCATGTTGTCACCTCTACCACCATCATGTTGTCACCTCTATCACCATCATGTTGTCACCTCTATCACCATCATGTTGTCACCTCTATCACCATCATGTTGTCACCTCTACCACCATCATGTTGTCACCTCTACCTCCATCATGTTGTCACCTCTACCTCCATCATGTTGTCACCTCTACCACCATCATGTTGTCACCTCTACCACCATCATGTTGTCACCTCTACCACCATCATGTTGTCACCTCTACCACCATCATGTTGTCACCTCTACCACCATCATGTTGTCACCTCTACCACCATCATGTTGTCACCTCTACCACCATCATGTTGTCACCTCTACCTCCATCATGTTGTCACCTCTACCACCATCATGTTGTCACCTCTATACACCATCATGTTGTCACCTCTACCACCATCATGTTGTCACCTCTACCACCATCATGTTGTCACTCTACCACCATCATGTTGTCACCTCTACCACCATCATGTTGTCACCTCTACCACCATCATGTTGTCACCTCTACCCCATCATGTGTCACCTCTACCTCCATCATGTTGTCACCTCTACCACCATCATGTTGTCACCTCTATCACCATCATGTTGTCACTCTACCACAATCATGTTGTCACCTCTACCACATCATGTTGTCACCTCTACCACCTATCATGTTGTCACCTCTACCACCATCATGTTGTCACCTCTACCACCATCATGTTGTCACCTCTACCTCCATCATGTTGTCACCTCTACCACCATCATGTTGTCACCTCTATCACCATCATGTTGTCACCTCTACCACAATCATGTTGTCACCTCTACCACCATCATGTTGTCACCTCTACCACCATCATGTTGTCACCTCTACCACCATCATGTTGTCACCTACCACCATCATGTTGTCACCTCTACCACCATCATGTTGTCACCTCTACCACCATCATGTTGCCACCTCTACCACCATCATGTTGCCCCTCTACTCACCATCATGTTGTCACCTCTACCACCACCATGTTGTCACCTCTACCACCACCATGTTGTACCTCTACCACCACCATGTTGTCACCTCTACCACCATCATGTTGTCACCTCTACCACCACCATGTTGTCACCTCTACCACCATCATGTTGTCACCTCTACCACCACCATGTTGTCACCTCTACCACCATCATGTTGTCACCTCTATCACCATCATGTTGTCACCTCTATCACCATCATGTTGTCACCTCTACCACCACCATGTTGTCACCTCTACCACCATCATGTTGTCACCTCTATCACCATCATGTTGTCACCTCTATCACCATCATGTTGTCACCTCTACCACCACCATGTTGTCACCTCTACCACCACCATATTGTCACCTCTACCACCATCATGTTGTCACCTCTACCACCACCATATTGTCACCTCTACCACCATCATGTTGTCACCTCTACCACCACCATATTGTCACCTCTACCACCACCATGTTGTCACCTCTACCACCATCATGTTGTCACCTCTACCACCATCATGTTGTCACCTCTACCACCACCATGTTGTCACCTCTACCACCATCATGTTGTCACCTCTACCACCACCATGTTGTCACCTCTACCACCACCATATTGTCACCTCTACCACCATCATGTTGTCACCTCTACCACCACCATGTTGTCACCTCTACCACCATCATGTTGTCACCTCTACCACCACCATATTGTCACCTCTACCACCATCATGTTGTCACCTCTACCACCATCATACAGGGAGACTACAAAACGCTCTTGTTCTAACCTAACTAAGTATTTATCTACCCAAATCCTAGTTCTGTAATTACGACCAACATACTAGATATATATCATACGATATTCTTCGCACGATGTCTGATGCTAGGTTTCTACCTATGCCAATTTAATTTATTGTGTCTGCCACTGGTAAAACTACTAAAACTACTACTAAACTACTAATTATACTATTTTCTAGTTTGCAATCGACACTACTACTTGTATAAGAAATAGTTTCTCTCCTATTAGAAGAAGGGATATATATTTATATTTATTGATGTTTATTGATGTTTATTTATATATTTTGACTTATCTAAATCTTTTACAAGACTGACACTTCCACTGCTACCACCACTACTACAACTATTACCTCTACAACTATTACTACTGCTACTATTACTACCACTATAACTACCTCTATTTTTACCACTACTACTAGTACTACCGCTACTACTACTAGTACTACCACTACTAGTACTACTAGTACTATACTAGTAGTACTACTAGTACTACGAGTAGTACTACTAGTACTACTAATACTAGTACTGCTACTAGTGCTACTACTACTAGTACTACTAGTACTACTAATACTAGTACTACTACTAGTAGTACTACTAGCACTACTAGTAGTACTACTAGTAGTACTACTAGTACTAATACTAGTACTACTACTAGTACTACTACTAGTAGTACTAGTACTACTAGTAGTACTAGTACTACTACTAGTAGTACTAGTACTACTAGTAGTACTAGTACTACTACTAGTAGTACTACTAGTACTACTAATACTAGTACTGCTACTAGTAGTACTAGTACTACTAATACTAGTACTGCTACTACTACTACTAGTACTACTACTACTACTAGTACTACTACTACTACTACTAGTAGTACTACTACTACTACTATTCTGTTAATATAACTTTAACACCAATAAGCAATACTAATATTAATAGTAACACTAATATTAACTACTAATATTACTAGTAATAACGGTGAAATATTAGTTACGATGGATACATTAGTAATAATCAAGATTAATAATAAATATTAATTTAGTTGTTTTGACTAAGTAAAACGAGTGAGTTATCCCCGTATTGCACAATCCCAGCCCCGTGTACATCAGTGAGTTATCCCCCTATTGCACAATCCCAGCCCCGTGTACATCAGTGAGTTATCCCCCTATTGCACAATCCCAGCCCCGTGTACATCAGTGAGTTATCCCCGTATTGCACAATCCCAGCCCCGTGTACATCAGTGAGTTATCCCCGTATTGCACAATCCCAGCCCCGTGTACATCAGTGAGTTATCCTCGTATTGCACAACCCCAGCCCCGTGTACATCAGTGAGTTATCCTCGTATTGCACAACCCCAGCCCCGTGTACATCAGTGAGTTATCCTCGTATTGCACAACCCCAGCCCCGTGTACATCAGTGAGTTATCCCGTATTGCACAACCCACAGCCCCGTGTACATCAGTGAGTTATCCCCTTTATTGCACAACCCCAGCCCCGTG